CCCTTTGGAATAATTAATTGATTCAGTAAATACATTCTTAGTTGAAAAAAAAAAAAACATCTGGGGGCCAGCTAGCTCTGGAGTCAGGAGGACCTGAGTTCAAATCAGGCCTCAAACACTTATTAGCTGTGTGACCCTGAGAAAATCACTTAGCCCTGATTGCCTCACCAACCCCCTCCAAAAAAAAAAATTATCTGGGAATAGCATCTTATTAATTACTTCATCTGGGGTGGGAAGTAATTGATTGATTGATTCAAATTATCCCCTCCCCCAGTGCTTAGCACAGTACCTGGCACTTAGTAGGTACTTAATCAATGCTTGTTGACTCACCCTTACACGAATATATGAAAGAAAGAAATAGTTTCCATGTTGTGTTTAGGGTTAGCTCTATTAGAAGTTTCATTATATAAAACATGAAATCACAAAGAGAATGGTCTCCTAGGTTGATGTAGTGATGTCATACATTCAGAGAGACAGAGACACAGACGCAGACACAGAGAAACACAAAGAGAACTGCATAATAGGTATTATCTGATAGCTTTTATCAATTCTCAAGAATAATCTAAGTGATCATTTCTGGTTTAGTACTAACATATAAAATGATGCAGATAAGAACAGAATTGTTTATTTTCGGGAAGTCCAAAGACCTTACTATGGGATAAAAAAAAAAGGCATAATAATTTCTAAGACTCGGTGAATTTTTAAAAATATATTTGAAATGAAATATTTATGTATTTCAAATTTTGAAATTTTTGTACTTTGCATTTTGAAATTGAAAATAATTAATTGAGAAATATTTTAAACATTTCATAAATATATAGTATACATAAAGTAGTAATGAAAGTACTACTATACTATTTGTAGTATAATTTGAGATTCAAGACTACTATTCCTTCCCACTTTTTTTTTAATTTCCCTTAAGATTCTTGACTTTTTGCTCTTCCACAAGAATTTCATTACTACTTTTTCTACTTCTATAAAGTAATTCTTTGGCAGATTAATTGATATGGTGCTGAATAAGTAAATTAATTGAGGTAGTATTGTCATTCTTATCGTTTTGGCTCAGCCTACTCATGAACAATTTACATTTCTCTAATGATTTTATTTCTACAAGAACATTTTGTAATGGAATTCATACAGGTCTTGTGTGTGTGTGTTGGTAGGTAGACTCCCAAGTATTTTATAAATTCTGTTATTTTCCATGGAATTTTTCTTTTTATGTCCTTCTGCTGAATTTTATTGCTAAAATAGAGAAATGCTGATAACATGTGGATTTATTTTATCTCCTGCAATTTTGCTGAAGTTACCATTTATCAGTTGCCAAATCTCTAAATAAACTTTAATGGGGGCATTAATGTACTGTTGGTGGAGTTGTGAACTGATTCAACCATTCTGGAGAGCAGTTTGGAACTATGCCCAAAGGGCTATAAAACCATGCATACCCTTTGACCTAGCAATACCACTACTAGGTCTGTACCACAAAAGGGATAAAAAAAAAAACAAAAAGGAAAAGGACCTATATATGGAAATCTATATATGGAAAAGGACCCACATGTACAAAAATATTTGTAGCAGCTCTTTTTGTGGTGACAAAGAATTGGACATTGAGGGGATGCCCATCAACTGGGGAATAGCTGAACAAGTTGTGATATATGAATGTAATGGAATACTATTGTGCTCTAAGAAATGATGAACGGGCTGATTTCAGAAAAACCTGGAAAGACTTGTATGGACTGATGCTGAGTGAAGTGAGCAGAACCAGGAGAACATTTTGTACACAGTAACAGCCACATTATGCAGTGACCAATATTGATAGACTTAACCCCTCTCAGCAATACAAGGATCTAAGACATCTCCAAAAGACTCATGATGGAAAATGCTATCCACATCCAAAGAAAGAACTATGGAGTTTGAATGCAGATGGAAGCAGACTATTTGCTATTTTTTTTTCTTCTGTTGTGTTTTGTTTCCTCTTTCCAGTGGTTCCTCCTATTAGTTTTAATTCTTACTTCAATATCACTAATGTGAAAATATATTTAATAGGAATGTATATGTATAGCCCATATCAGATTGCACGCCATCTTGGGGAGGGAGGCTGGAAGGGAGCGGGAGAAAAATTATGGAAGTGATTGTTGAAAATTCAAAATAAATGAATTTTAAAAAACAAAAACAAAAAGGAAAAGGACCTATATATGCAAAAATATTTATAGCAGCTCTTTTCTTGTGACAAAGAATTGGAAATTGAGGAGATGCCCATCAATTAGTGAATGGCTGAACAAGTTGTGGTATGTGATTGTGATGGAATACTACTGTGCTATGGGAAATGATGATCAAAATGCTCTCAGAAAAGTCTGGAAAGACTTTCATGAGCTGATGCAAAGTGAAATGTCCTGTGTACAAAGTACCAGCAATATTGTAAGATGATCAGCTGTGAATGACTTAGCTATTCTCGAAACATTGCGATAAAACACTATCTACCTCCAGAGAAAGAATTAATGATGTCTGAATACAGATTGAAGCATACTTTTTTTAAACTTTCCTTATTTTTCTTGAGGTTTTTTTTTTGGCCTATGTTTTCTTTCACAACAAGATTATTATAAAAATGCTTTGCATGACTACACATATATAAGCTATATCAAACTGCTTGCCATCTCAATGAGGGGTGTGGGGAGGGAGGAAGGGAGAGAATTTGGAACTCAAATTGTTTTTCCATGTAACTGGGGAACATAAAATACTAAACTAACATAAAAATAAACAAAGGGCTTCAGTTTCTTGTTCTTACATTCTCAAAATAGCTTTTGGTCCTTGTTTATCATTTTTTCTTTTTTTACCTTCCTGTCAGCACATAAGGAATGAACCATAGTCTGGAATTTGTGATCTTAGCTGCTCAGCTTCTGCCTTGCCTATAGTTTGAAGCCCTGACTTTTGCTTCTGCTCTACAAAACACACATTGTTTACCACCTTCATCTGGCTCTACAGGGAGCCACTTTTCCTGAAGCATCATAGTTAGCTTGGTCATTGAACACACCCAGCATTTCTGTAAGACACCTTTTTTGGCCTGAAGTCCCAGCACGGAGTTTCTGCGTGGATTTCCTCCGTTGTTCTTTCTGGCCTCCACTCCTGACCCTCTGGACTTCTCCATCAAGCCACTGCAGCCTCCTCATCCTAGAAGTTCCCTCTGCCCCTTTGGACCCTTCCTTTGATTAGTTGGTTCCTCTCAGCACCTCCATTTTAAGGAAAGTGCCCAGGCCAGTCATGTCTTCAATTCTCTCCTGGCTCCACTCCTGACTCTGTGTAATTTCTCTGCCATGCCCCTGTGGGGTTGTCTCCACTCTTTCCTTCTTTTCCGCTCCCTTTTATATCGCCTCTTCTCTCATTAGAAAGTAAGCTCCTTAAGGGCAGGCACTCTGTGTGTGTATCCTTTGCATTGAGCCAACCTGCCTGGTACATAGTAAACCTTTAATAAATGCTTATGACTTGACTTGGGTTCAAACCTCACCTTTAAATTTTACCACCTTTGTGACCTTGGGCAAGCCACTTAACCCACCTGGGCCTCAGTTTCCTCCCCAGTAAAACGTGGGAGTTGGACTATGTGGCCTCTGTGATTTTTTTCAGGCTCTAAATTTATAGTCTTATGAATTATGTATACTGAAAGATGAACTCTGCTAGTTATCATCTAACTGCCTGCTATAATCTGGATGAAACTTGGAAGAAATTCTTCATCCACTTAATTTTTCCTCTGTGGATGGTCGGCTAAATTTTTTTCAGTAATCACCGATCTTGACCCACTTTGGGACCTAATGCAACCATCCTGATGTCATCCACGGACCAGAGTGTCTGAAAGACCTCACCATCCTTGAACCACCTAGAGAGATTTTGGCCGCTGAAGGGGGTAGTAGAGGAAGTGGGAGATCCAGAGGCAAATCCTTATTGTCCCACCCAGTTCTGGCTCTAGGTTCAGCCAATAGAGGAGTGGTCCTCTCCTGGACCATGACTTTGCCTGGATATCAAAGAAACAGGCAGATGCTCTTTCTTGTCCCATGACTTTCTCACCTCCTTGTCCAGTCAGGCCCCTTTCTTTTCCTAGACACTACTCCTACCCAGGTCTTCACTGATGATAGGTGACCCTTCCTCACGGCCACTATGAGCCCGCCTCCCCATTGCCCTTTGGGGGATGCTCAGCTTTCATTCTCCCCCAATTGCCTTATTCCATTGACACAGTCAAGCTCCATCAACTTTGCATATTTGTCAGGAGAGTTTTATTTCCCCTTTTTTTTTTGTTCAGTGGGATAGAGGGGTGGGTGGAAAGAAGAGAAAATAAATGCTTGTTAAACAAAGTATGCCGACAGCTGAAAATGAGATGATAAAAACAAAGACGACAATAATGTAGGTATTACTGTGTTTCCGGTGGGCTTAAAAATTAATAACGGAAGTTTGCAGACACAGGTACTGTCATTTACCGCCTCCTGGGATTTTCTTTAATATACTGTACTTTTTTCTCATTTTCTCTCCTATAGCCTATTGCGAATCTTTGACTACCTGCAGGTGTTAAAAATGAAAATGAATGTTAAAACCACCGGAAAAGTGAGACGGGGCCAGGTTGTGATGGGAGGTAAAACGGAGCCACAGGAGCTGATGGAGCGGGGGCGACCCGGCCAGACCTTCGCTCTGTCTGGGGCGAGGAGGACGAGCAGAAAGGCGGGGGCTCCTCCCCGAGGATGCTCTCCCACACCTCCCTCCCCCGCCCCTTCCTCCTCCCTCCCCTGCAGGACCAAACCACTCGGGGGTGGGGACGGGGGAGGAACCCTCCCCGCTCTCGTTCTCAAACAGCTTACCCGGACCTGGGAGGTCACGAGCGCGTGACGTCACGAGCGCGCCCGGGCCAACCGGGAGAGCCTCCTCCGCCGGTCCCGCCCTCCCCTGCAGTGACGTCACACGCCGGCGCCCGGGATTCGAGCGCGGGAGCGGGAGCGGCGCCGCCATGGACCCCGCGAGCCTGGCGCAGGAGGTGGGGCGCTGGGCGGCCCAAGAGATGGGCTGCCCGGCCGCCCTGCTGCCCCCCGAGCCTGCGCTGCGCAGGTGAGAGCCGCCCTTCCCCCCCCAGCGTGGGCCCCCCCCCCCCCAGAGTCGACCCCTCCCTTCCCCCCCCCGTGCGGACCTGCCCCCAGCATCCCCACCCTCGCATGGACCCCCCTAGCGTCCCCTCCCCCCGCAGTCTGGACCGGCTCCTGCAGTCCCCCATTCCACCCCCGTATGGACCCTCCCCCCGCAGTCTGGACCCTCCCCTGCAGCACCCCCCCACCCCATCCTCGTATGGACTCCCCCCAAGCATCCCCACCCCCAGCAGTCTGGACTGGCTCCTGCAGCACCGCCCCACCCTCAGCATCCCGGACCCCACCCCCCTTCCATCAGCATTACCCCTCGAAGAATCTCTGACCTCAGTGGGGTCCAACCCCCACCTGAGCAGGAATCCCCCCTCTACTTCACACCTGTCCCAGCCTTAATTTGATGAGCTCACTACCTCCCGAGGCCGCCCACCCCTCTTTGACCTGGCTCTGGTGGTCAGGGAGCTTTTGGACTCAAGCCCGAATCTGCGTCTCTGCAGCCTCCACCCCTCGCTCCTGGTTCTGCCTGCCAGAGCGACTCTGATCCGTCATCCGCCTGGCACCTCTTCCCATACTGGGGGACAGCTGCCTTGCTCCCCTCTGATCCTCCCCTTCTCCAGGCTAAACATTCCCACTTCCTTCAATTCAAAGAATCCCCCTCCCACTGCCTCTGCCCTCCCTCCCGGTAGATTTTTTACGAGCTAATATACGCATGCTGTGTCTCCCTGGCAGAACCTAAGCTTTTCCTGGTCGGGGGCGGTTTCCTTTGTATCTGTCCTCTCAAGCCCATTACAGTGGCTGTCACGGAGCAGCAGCCTCTTAATAAATGGCTTGTCGATCGTTTGAAATGAAACTGTATTTAAACTGCTTGGCCACCCTTAGAGGGCTGTGTAAATTCAGTAAACATGAAGCATCTTGTATATTCATCATTGTGCTGGGCCACAGGAAGGAAAATAATCCTGGCCTTCAATAAATGTTGGTGAATTGAATTCTGGAAAATTGCAACAAATAAATAGCCCTTTGCCATTCTGGAAGTACTCCAGCTTCTCGGCCTCCTTAAAATGAGGTTTAATAATGTTCCATTTGTGGTCTGAGCAGGCCAGAGCAGAGCAGGACCCATCACTTCCCTTGTTAAAGACATTATTTCTCTTTCTTGATACAGCCTAAGGTTGAATTAGCCTTTTTTTTTTTTCTGCTGTTATTGTTTCTTGCCCTTTCAGCCCAATAAAACCTTCCAGCCCTTTTTCAGACAAACAGCTTTCTTGCCAACTCATCTCATCTTGTTAACCATGAGGTTAAGTTTTTGGACCCAAGAGACTATGGTTCAGGTTTGCCTTCTGACTTTTACTAGCTGTGTAATCACTGAGGAATAGAGCTGTAAGAGACCTTAGAGGCTATCTCATCTAACCCCCTTATTTTGCCAGCCTCTTTGTACTGGGCAGGATGTTTGGATCCTGACTTTGTCATCTATCACGTTGGTCATTCCTGCTAACTTTGTGTCATCTGCAGACTGGATAAGGGTCCGTTTATTTATCTAAGCTCAAGGAGGGATCCCTGAAACACCACCCAAGGATCTCCTTCCAAGTTCATTGGAATGGAACTTAAAAGTCATCTAGCCAACCTCTTCATCTTACAGACGAAGAATGAGTGATATTGAACTATTAACAATTGTTCTTTAGGTCTAGTCATGCAGGCATTTTGAAATCCACCAAAATGTGGCGTTGGCCAGCCCCAGCCTTGATTACAAGAACAGCATGACAGGTTTTGTTCAATGCTTTACTGAAATCTAGGTAAAATATATCTACCACAGTCTCCTGATCTTACAATCTGGCAACCTTGTCAGAAAAGTAAACAGTCCCCGGATCTGTTCTGGATGGAGCCCTGTTGGCTTTCAATACAGCCTGCTTCCTTCCCATTCTCAGTGTTAACAAGCCTTGCCTTTAACCATACATTCTGAAATTTTTAGACTCCATTCTTGTCCCTTTTATGAAAATAGAGGTGTTTTCCCTTTTCCAGCCCACAGTCCTTTCCTGTCCTCCACAGTCTTTCCCAGATCAGTGATACCAGCTCAACTGTCCCATTCGCCAGTTCTGTAACCACACTGAGAAGTAATCCAGATGCTATCCAGGCTTTCTCACCGGCTTCTTCCTTGTTTCAGGAATCGGTTCTTTATTAATCTTTTTTGTTCTGCCCTTTTCTTTGGCCAAAAAAAAAAAGGCAGCAAAGTAAGAGTTAAGTAATTCTACCTCCTCTCCATTGCCTATATTTATTATCCCATCCCTCCAAGCAATGGGCCCTATTCTCTCTTTGAGCCTCCTATCTCCAAAACAGTGTTAAAAAAAGAAAACCAAATGTTGTCCTTAGTGTTCTTCACCAGGTGTACTTCCCCCAATAGAATTTCAGGCTACAAAACCTCATAGCCTGCATAACTCTGAAATCTGTTCTCCCCAAACGGAGCGCCTGTTAGATTTTGTGATTGAGGAGAGGAAGGTTGGGCACAGTCTAAGACAGAGTAGTCATTTATCCCCCAAGCTTTCCATAACTTCCTCCTTGATAAGGATAATTAGATCCAGAATTAGCAGTTCCCCTTGTAGCTTCCTCGATTGTTTTGAAGGACAAATTTCTCATTAAGGCAAACCTCTCCCTGGTAACTATGTCAGGGCTCTGTGCTGGATTCATTAGCTGTTTCCTGTCTAGGTCAGTCAGTATTAAGCATCTACTGTGTGCCAGGCACTGCTAAGTGCTAGATACCCTGCCTGTAGGAGACTTTGTTTCTCTGGCAGTCTACACCCCAGATGCTGTCCACCATCCCCTCAGGATCTCTGGTTTCCTCCTATAAATAGACTGCATTATACAATGCTATTTCCAGCCCAGCCCGAGTGCTTTTTCTCATCCGTACCTTTTGAATAAGCCATATGCTAATCATTCGCCCCATCTCATCTCAGCTTTGGGGGCAGCTAGGTGGTGCTGCAGTGGATAAATTACCAGTCCTGGAGTCAGGAGGACCTGAGTTCAAATCCAGCCTCAGACACTAGCTGTGTGACCCTGGGCAAGTCACTTAACCCTGATTGCCTCAAAAAATAAAATAAAATCAGCCGTCTCTTCAACTTGGGATCTCTACTCGACCTTGCTTGTCACTCATACCTTTTTAGCACCTTAGTCTCTTGCCATGAGACCCTCAGTCTCAGACTTCTCTTTCCACCCCACTTCCTCAGAATGTGTATGGGCCCCATGGCTGATGTCTGGACCTTTCTGACGAAGAAGATCCATAACCAGAGGTGAGACACAGTGGGGAAAGGGGTGGGTTAGGGAGGGCTCCCTCTCCAGGAGAGGAAAGTCTCATTCAGTCTTGCCCTTTATATTCTGTGCTCCTCTCCAGGACGGTAAAGAAGATTCGTGGGAACCTTTTGTGGTATCTTCCAGCCCCAGCTTCCCACCTGGCCTTCCTCCTGGCCCTGGATTCCCTGAGCCCCTGTGCTGGCGGCCCCTGGAGAGGGGAGGGGGAGGGAGCCTCTGCAGTGGAGTCAGGGAGGCTGGTGGGCCTCAGATGGTCCTCCAGATGAACTCCTGCTTAGCAGGGTGCCCCCCCCTCATTTCTTGGGGTTTGCCAGTTAAGGTCCTGCCCCACTCCAGATTGGTCTTTCCCCTGGCCAGAGGTTGTGTCTCTGTTTGCCCTCCTGCGGTCAACCGTTGCCCATTCCCCCTTTATATGACCCTACTTTGTCTCTGCCCTTGTCCTGTGTCCCCTGTCCCTCCCCCAACACATCCCTGTTCGATTCCTTAACCCCCTAATTCCTTGTAGGTACAGCCACCAGGAAAGCCCAGAGGTGAGAGGACAGGGTGCCTAGGCCTGGGCTGGGTGCCACCTTGGGGGGAGCGGGGAAGGGGACACGTCCACTGCCCTCTCCCTCTTCTACAGGGACCAATTCAATCCAGCAAGCATTGATTAAGTACTTACCATGTGCCAGGCACTAGAGTGACCAGCCAACAAAATAATCCCTGCTTACAAAGTGGGCGCAGGTGAATAAAGACAGCATGTGCAGAGCTATACAAACCCTGGAGAACACCTAGGACCAGAGGGGGAGGCTCGGCTCGGCTCGACAGGGGAGGGGAGGGGGAGGGGCAGCCCCAATCACCCTTGCTCAGTAGGCTGGCCGGAGGCGGGAGCTGGAGGCAGCACTGACCAGGGTACAGGCAGAGATTGGAGAAATGGACCTGAGCCTGGAGCTGGCTGAGCGAGAGGCCGTAGCCCAGGGTAAGTGACCGGATGGGGACTCGGGAAGGTCTGGGAAGGGGAGAGGATCCTTAGGATTCGTTAGCTGCCTGGTGGCCCTGCTCCTCCTACAGACATGGCCCAGGAGCTCACCCTGAAGCAGATCCGGGATGCCCAGGGCAAGGCTTTGCTCCTCCAGGCGCGAGCAGCAGCTGCCCGACGGCAGCACCGAGGCCTCAGAGACCGCACCCAGCGGCTCCAAGGCCAGCTCAGCCACCTGCAGGACATGGAAAGGTGGGCCCTGTCCCCTCAGCCCCAACCCCAGGGATCTGAAGCCCCAAGTCTTCCCTACTCCTAGAAAACACAAAGTGACAGAAACCTCCTCTCTCCCCCAGGAAAGCAAAAGCAAGCGTGGCCTTTGGGCCTCCAGCACCCGTGCTCTTGGGCCTGGAGCCAGATGTCCTGGTGAGTGTCCCCAGAATCGGGGTGGGGGCACCCCCCAGTGCTCCCAGGCAGCAGCTTCCCTCACTCTCACTCGCTCTCTTTCCAGCAAGAGGTCATGCGGGTCTGCAGCCAGCGCACCCAGTTCCTCCAGGCTTTGCTGACCCCTCATTCCGATCCGAGGACTTTGTGAGTTACCTCCTGCCCTCCCCCTTCCCAAGGAGGTGGCCTGTGTGTGGCCTCGTCTCCCTTCCTCTAAACACCATCTCCCCTCAGGACCACCCAGGACGACCTGTTTGCCACCACCCACAGGCAGTGGTTCAGTGAAATGGAGGTGAGCAGGACACTCGGGGGCCTGGGGAGCCAGGACTGGAGGACATTCCTGACCCGGGGAGGGTCCGGGCCCCATGATCACTCCCTCCCCCCGCCAGGTCCTGATGGCTTCCCACCCCCCCGCGCACATCCTGGGGGCACTGGAGCACCTGGCTGCGAGGCAGACGGCCGAGCTGCAGATGCTGACTGCTCGGTGGGACGGCGAGACACAGAGGTAGGAGCCCCCATGGAGGGAGAGGGCGAGGAGCGAGGTCTCCCTCCGGGCACCTGATTCTCCTTGTCCTTGAATAGGCTACAACAGGAAGATGCATCTGAGCCCCCAGTCCTGCCTTCCCTGGTCTCCCTTATCCAGGTAACAGCTCACCAGCAAGGTGGGAGGTTAGGCCGAGTGGCAGCTTTGTCTCCCCTCCCTGCAAGGAGGGCTCCTGGACTATTGGGCCCTGGGACTCCTTGGGACTTCCCTAACTGTGGGATTTTCTTCCCTCTTCCCCACCCCAGGAGGGTTGGCGGGCAATAGGGGTGCTGACCTCGAAGAGAGGCCCTCTCCTGCAGCAAGGTCAAGCACTGGCTGAGAGACTCCAGGGCCTAATGAAGGAAGTGGCACAGAGAGTGACAGGGCCCCAGGAGGCTCGGTGAGATGAGCGCTGTGCGTGTGTGTGTCTGTGTGTGTGTCTCTTGTCTATCTGTGTCTGTGTCTTTGTGTCTGTGTGTGTCTGTGTCTGTATCTTTGTTTCTGTCTGTGTGTGTGTCTGTGTCTCTCTGTGTGTGTGTCTCTGTCTATCTGGGTCTGTGTCTCTGTGTGTGTATGTCTCTGTCTATCTGTGTCTGTATGTGTGTGTCTGTATCTTTGTGTCTGTGTCTTTGTGTCTGTGTGTCTCTGTCTATCTGTGTCTGTGTGTCTGTGTCTGTCTGTGTCTGTATCTTTGTGTCTGTGTGTGTCTCTGTCTATCTGTGTCTGTCTGTGTGTGTCTCTGTCTGTATCTTTGTGTCTGTGTCTTTGTGTCTGTGTGTGTCTGTGTCTGTATTTGTGTGTCTGTCTGTGTGTCTGTCTGTGTGTCTGTGTCTCTGGTTCTCATCCCCAGGTCTCTGTGTCCCTAACCTCATGTGCTTCCTCCCTCCTTCCCTCCCTCCTTCAGCCAAGCCTTATCCCTGGGGCTGCAGGTGGTTGCGCTCCAGGCCACCCGTAGCTCTCTGCGAGCTCAGTGCCGGAGCCTGAAGGAGGAGGCCGAGCGGAGGCAGCAGGAGCTTTGGGAGCTCCAGGCCAAACGGCAGCGCATCGTGAGCTGGCGGCAGCGAGTGGTGAGCAGACGTCGCTTGGCCGGGAGGTGACCCCCCCCCCACCCCACCCCACCCCCGCTCTGTCTTAAGCCTGGGTGTATCCCCAGGAGGAGACCCAGGAACGGATCCGGGTGCTGATCAAGGGGAATTCTGTCAGCAAGAGTCACCTTCAGAAGAGCCCAGGAGAGGTGAGAGGCTGCAGTCCCAGAGCAGAGGGATCCTGAGGTCCCGGGGAGAGGGAAGGTCTGGCTAGGGCCTTGGGGGTCGGGCCCAGGGCAGAGGGA